TTAAAATAATATTTAAAAAAAAAAAATTTATTTATTAAGAACATTACACAGAAGAACATTTTTATCCGTTAGAACTTATTAATACTAGATTCAAAATTAATTTTTTTTCTGAAATTGTTGATATGTTTAAGTTTATTATGACTACTCAGTTATATCTTAATGTGATTAATTATTGTTTTTACGATACGATGATTATGAAGAAGTATAGAAAGAATAAAATTGCTTAGCAAAAATATTTTTAGGATGATAAATTTGGAATACCAAATCTATTGATTAGTTTTTTTGACGATGAATTTGTCCTATTTTAATCATTAATCAATTTTAATGTAAATGATGTTTTAATTTACTTAGTACTATTCCTTCAAAATATTTTTGTTGGAACTTACTCTTTATAAGAAGGACTATTGTGAAATTATGAAGACAAGAAAGGGGTAAGAAAATTTTACAAATATAATTCATTTCTTGATAATGAAGAATAATACCAAATTGCATTTATTTATTGTCTCTAAATGATTTGGTAATATGAGTTGCAAAATATTTATTATAATTAGAATTTTGTCAATTTGGCAGAAGAGAGATTCTCAAAGATGTATTTTTCTTTGTAATTTTATAATTCTATCATCTATCCTTTTTTGTTTTCTAAAATAAGATTACTTTCCATAGTGTAAACAGTTGTCGTCACAACATTTATTGGATGTTGCTTTATTCTTAAAACTATAAATTGGTTAAGTATTAGTAAAGACTTTATCTAATAAGTTATAATCTCTTCTATCTGCATAAAAATTTAATTAAAGAATTTAATATTGAGTAAGTTTTTATTAATTAATGAGAAGTATTGAAAAATGAGACTTTTAAAATTCATTATATTTATCCAAATAAAGAAAATCTCCAGATAAGAAGGCAATACTATAATTTAGGATAAGATTGTGCTTTTTATGGCGTGCATAGCAAAAGCAAAAAATAAATAAAGCTCAACAGAGGAGTATTTATTATAAATGAAGGCCAATAATGTATTTATGATTCAAAAACCAAATGTAAAGATTGAAAATTAGCTTTAGGAGTTGTTAGGGGAATATTGAGCAGCCTTTTGTCTTTAATCCAGAGTATCATTCAAAAATGTAAATGATTTATGGGTAGGTTTATAATAATTTCAAAATATGAATTTTGTGGTAAACCTATCAATATTACAAAGCTTTTTTATTTTATTGATTTAGGGATAGTTGGGCTCAAAATACCCATAGAATTAATTTCTTTTTATTACAAATTGTTCAATTGTCATTCTTTCTTTTGTAATTCATAGTATAACCAATTATATTTCTAATTTATGAAAAATCTTTTATTTGGAATTTCCCTTACTTAAATTTCTGTTCTATTTACTTCTCTCAAGTCTTTAATTGTAATAATCAGAAAACTATTTCACTTTATAGATAGTTTGTAATTAAAATATAATTTTCTTATAGTTTCTTCCCTGATCAAAATTACTTTTAACTCTTCTTTTCCATTTTTATTGCTGTGTTGATCTTTATCCTTTAATTCTCTTACTCATTATAAATATATTTTATTAATCTGGGCAATTATTTGTATGCGTCTAAATTCCTTTTTGTTGAATTTTTTCTTATATATTAATTTAGCTTCTCTATATATATTTAATCTCATATATTCGTCGAAGTTACTTCAACTCACACTTTGGATTAAATTCCAGTTTACCAATTGAGTATTTGCTACAGATTAGATTTAGTGTTTTTTTTCCTAAGGTTTTACCATTTATTTAGGTCTTTTAAAACAAATCGAGAAATTGATATAATCGAAATGCGGTTTTATGTACATTTTCCACTCTTTTAATTGGTATCTCATCACTAAAATTGTTTAATATCTCTTATTCTGAAATTTTGACTGCCAGCCATTTTTTGATCTTTTTATAATGTGATGATAATCAGCCTTCCATCCATCCATATTCCGAAATATGTGAATTCGTTTATTCTCTTCCTATCTCTTCTACTTCTTTATTTTCTTTTTATGATCCCTCAATATACAGATTTTTTATGATCCCTTTATATAGGCAAGACATCTTACGCTATCTACCACTGTCATACTTACTTTCTTGTTTCTTAAGTGATATGATAGTCTCAAATATAAATTTCACCTTTGATTTCTTTAAAGACCATATAAAGTATATTTTGAAAAGAGATGGGGAAAGGAAAAATCCTAAATGACATCTCTTATCTAAATATAATTTGTTATACTTTTCTGATAATATATGTAAGGTAATTTAAAAATGGAATGCTAAATGAAGATATAAAAATAGATAAAAAAAGATAATAAGTATCTTGTAAAATTTAAAAGAGATTGGAAAGTTGATAATGAGATTATAAAAAATTAGAAATAGATTTAATAAATAAGGTAAGAAAGATTTGCAAAATTCCTAAAAATATAAACATGATAAAAATATATTAGAATAAGGGGAAAAAGACTAAAGAATAAAACTAAAAAGAATTAGATGAGACTCAAAATTAAAAAGGAAATTATACATATTATTATTACCTATATTTTCCTCTGTAATAGCTTTATTTACGTTTCCAATATTGATTTCTTTTATTTAAGAAGCATCTGCTTATAATTCTGGTTTCCTTCTTCCATCCAAATCAGTTTGATCAATTCCTTTACAAAAAAATAAGTACCAAAAGATTTTATCTCGCTATAATTGTTATTCTTCCACCTTTAAAATTACTCATAAGAGCATTTAATTCTAAAAATTCTTCTTCTCTATATATATAGGTTTAAACTATTAGTATTCTGGCTATCAATAGGCAATTAGAACAATTCTTCTAAGAAATTAGACTAGGAAAGTTATTCCTTTGATTACATCTATAGAAGTTCTTCTTCTATTAATCTTACATTTATTCTAACTTCTTCTGGCTGTTATAAATGCAAATTAACTCTTAAACTCTGAGCTCAACTTTTTTAATAAAATCCAATGATTCTAGTTATATATTGGCATTATCATAAATTAAAATTTAAACGATTTTTGAGTTTTGAGTTTTTAATATTTAATTTGGCTTATTTTCAATAATTTTAATTGCTTAAACTTAATTCTTCTATAAAGAATATTCTACAGCCTTTTTAACACATATTTATAAGATCTTAGATTCATCTTACATATGCTATTAAGATATTTATGAATCAATATTATATTTAATTTTTAATTAGCCTTACAAATTACTCTTTTCATTTTAGTTAGATTAGCCAAACAAAAGAAATTTTAATTCTCTAATTCATGAAATTAAGATATAGCTTATCAAATTATTAACATTTAAATAGTGTTGTCATCTGTTAAATATTCTGGAATTAAAGAAAAATCATTTTAATTAGCTCTTTGTAGTTTAATAACTCCCTGTAAATGCTAAATTTTATTAGTGTGGGGTAAAGGATTAATAATAAATTAGTTTATAACATGATAATTATTGAATAGTTTCTACTGAGATGAAAAGATTGTATATTATTACAATAAATATACTTCAATAAATGACTATAGGAAATTTACAGTTTTAAAATTGAGCAATTTATAATTTTAAGAAATCTATATATATTTTTTTTGAAATTTCTGCTGGCTTTGATTAATTCCTTATTATTATTATTATTATTATTATTATTATTATTATTATTATTATTATTATTATTATTATTATTATTATTATTATTATTATTTATTATTAGTTATTTACCCCTTAAATAAATGATATTCTTATTAATGTTGATAATTCAAATTATTTTGAATAAAATTCCAAATCTAATACAAATATTACTTTTAATACGACAATATTTCTTGACTCGCTTGCAAAATAAAGATTTACCTAATTTTAATGATTTCAGAACAGAATAAAATTTTGGGCTTAAAAGTCAGTTGAGCATGCATATTTTCATGCTAAAATCATCTCTTTTACAATATTTACATTCATAAACTACAGTCCTTGTAATAAACATAAATATATCAATTATAGTTACCAAGAATGTTTTGGAAATTAAAACAAAAAGAAATTCTTGAGATAATCAATATTACTTTAGCCTTCTCATGCAAAATAAGAAGAAGACAACTCAATATCTCTTATTGAATTTTATTTCTATAATTTTCACTCTATATAAATAAATTTCCTGTTATTTAAACGCGCTTTCGAGACAACACTTTTCTTCATGATTTGGAGTAGAGGTAATTAATAATCTTGAATATCGAAAGAGTATGATTAGGTAAATTTTTTTCAGGTTAAAATAGTTCAAATTAAAATTGGATTTAGATGTTTATAAAAAGTAAATTATAGAATGGTTAGTTTAATCATGTCATGAGATCAATGTTAAAGTATTTTATTCAATTAGAAATTCATTTTTACATTTCTGATGATTTTAGATCAACCCATAAGCTAATATTTATCCATCTTTTAGAAGTCCAAATATTTTCTTCATGTTAACAATAACCTTATTTAGGAATTTTATAGGCAAAATTCAATATCCTTTCAGGGTTGTTTCGAAAATTTTCACTATAATTAATTATTCCTCATTAATATTTGTCAATATGATAAACTCTAATTAATTCTTTTCAAAAATCCATTTTTGAAAGAGTAATGCTTTCCAAATTTTAAGCCCTTGAAAATTAAATCAAAATGTCTAAACTCAACATTTTTTTTATAGTAATCTCTCTTTATATTACTAAATACATTGAAGAATAATTGAATAGGGCTCCGAATACTATTGGATCTAAACCCTTCAGTATAGTATAATGTTTCGAGCAGATTAGATAAGTTTATTGGTCAAATACTCTAACACAACAGGGAGGAATATGCTATATACACAAAATTGGGAGACGGATAAATAGGAGAATTAATACAAGAATGGTCAATAAAGGCTTTAATTAAAATAGAGTTGAGTAGTTACAATACATAGGCAGCACAAAATGGCACAAAGATCATAAAATAAAACTGAAAAGGGATTACATATTTTGAGAACTCAAGAATAATAGTATACTACATTAGAGATGATCTACAATCCAATGCCTCAATGAAGCATAATAAATATGAGATGAAGAACAATCTAAATAAAATTTACGTGAGATAAAGTTAAATCCGAATGAGACTCAATCTCCCCTATTGAAATTTTTGTACAATTAAGGTAAATCATAATGATGTCATATCAAATGTAATATAATCGGTTAGCATAAGCATTGTAAGAGTCCTATTGGTTTTTAAAAAGTGAATATGGATTTCAGAATAAATTTATCAATTAAAAACTTAATTTCATAATTTAACTATAGAAAAATAATACCTGTGATTCATTTCTTTAATTTAGTATGTGCTGTTTTAATAGATTTTAATTACACCTTAATTATTTTCATAAAATTTTTTAAAATTGATTTACTTAAGTATATTGAAGGATTCAATAATCTTATTTTTAATTCAAAATCATATCATGATTGTTTGAAGTATGATCCTTAAAAATCCCTCAAAGCTTTAAACCTTTATTCTAAAAAGTCAACGTTTTAATTCTTAATGTTAATTATAAACACTCTTTTAATCATCAACTTATATACTTGAAGATAGTTCATTAATAAGTTGAATGAATAGATATTATATAAGCATAGGCTTTATTGAAGGAAACTTACATAATATATCATTATTAAATGAATTGAATTTTTTTTTGAGTAAACAATTTTTTGTTTAAATCAGGATATAATGATTTAGATATTTTTAGAATTTATAAAATAATTGCCTCATAAATTACTAATTGATTTAAAAGTTTTCTAATTATTCTTTATAATTATTAATGGGAAATCAAACTATTCTTGCTAAAAGATTCTGATAAGAAATCATAATTTTAATATTGTAAATATCTAAAAACCGGTAATTTTAAAATATTTAATCTAAATTAAGTTTAAAAAGAACTCTTGATCATGGTTTATTTTAAAAGAAAGCTTTAGAGATTTGCTAAAAGTATATTTCATAGATTAGATAAGAAAAATTAATAGTTGTCTAGGTAGCTACATTATAGAAGTAACAAAGCTCATTTAAAAAAATGGAGACGAATTGATTTTTATAAAATAAAAATTAAATTTAATTTATTATTTAATCTTTTTGGAAGATTAAATTAAGTTTATGGAGTTATTACATTTTGAGCTGGAAATATTAGGCTATGTAAAAGAAAGGTTAAAGGCATTAAAGTTGAAGAACTATTTTATGAAAAAGAATAAATGTAGTTTAAAATCTTTTTTATGATTTGTTGAGACTTTAAAAGTATTATCGGTGCTTAATCTATTAAAATTGTCTTTTAAGATTAATATAACTAAAGAATGATATACTTTTCTTTATATTGGATAAAGCTTATTTATTTTAACTATTTAGTGCATGTGTTACATCATGTCATTCTAAATGTGAAAATAAATTTAATAATAATTATGAAACAGTGACTCATGGATCTAATTCTATTGTATAGAGATAAATAATTTTAAATAATATTAAAAATAATATACTTTATTAGTCAATGTGAATGTGATAAACATATATGAATTAGTAAAAACTTTAATGAACTTCAGATTAATCTAAAATCAACTAAATATTTTTTCTCTAACATATTTGTTAGGTCTTTTGAAGCGGATGTTCGTTTGATTGTACTAAATTTAAGTTAATTAAATATTTCAAGCATAAAAGGTCTAAATTTATATTTTCATTTTATTCTATTATTATTTTCAAATCTTTACTATTTACTTAAATATGTTTTATCCCTGAAATCAAATCAATATAGTTATTTAATTACATAATTTGATATTTCCTTATACTCAAAAATGAAATGTCATTAATAAAGTCTGGAGTTGATTCAAGTTTTAAAAATAGTAACGATAAATTACTGCAATTAAACTTAAATAATAAATCATTCTTTATTAAAATAATTATTGAATTCTGATTTCAAGATATATATTAATGAAGTAAATATTACATCTATAAATTAGTTGTTTCTAATAATGGTTTCAAAAATATTCATTTTCCGATTTTTTTGACAATATATTTTTCTTCTGATTTTATTACTCATAAAGGTGATAATAACTATTCAAATTTCTTAAATAATATTTTTGATATTAAAATTAATAAATTACAAATAAATTTCAATCTCATCTTATTCATTTCTGGCTTATTAATAAAACTTAGATATCAATAAATTATTATTCTATTAATAGAAAAATATATTTTACAGGAATCAGATAGTTTAATCAGCCTTTAAGTTTTAGAAATTTCTCACAAGTCTGCCTTTGAAATAGATAGAAGTTTATTCTAAGTTTTTCTTCAGTGATCTCATTAAATCCTTAAAAATTATGTTAAAGAATATTAAATATTATTCTTTTATGATTATTCAAACTAATTATTGAAGATCATCATTGAAGAATTTACGATTTCGTAAATTATTAAAAATATTTAATCAGTGTTTAATTATGGATTTATTGATATTCAATTAATTAATTGAGTATTAAAACTTTAATCTAATTATCCAAATTATAAAAAATTTAACTTATAAACAAATGCAAAATTGATAATAATAAATCGTTTGAAAATTATTCTATATCCAAATTATTCAATCAAGTACTAAAGAAAATTAGGAAAGAATCATAAGGATAAAATTTATAAGATCAATTTTTACCTTTTATCCTTCCTTAAGAGAATTGAAATATTAATTTGGAATATTCCCTAAAATTCCAATTAAAATTTGTTAATTATCTAATGAAAAATAACTTCAAAAAGAAATTTAGGAGTAATTGAGCAATAAAACCAAATAATATTTATCAGATGAAAAGATTCATATACTTCAAAGAAAAAAAGCCAGTCTGGATAAATTTCCTTAATTATCAAATGGGACAAATTTTTCATTCACTAATTCTGTAAATTTCATAATCTTTCATAACCATCAAACCAAGTTTTCCAAATATAAACCTAAAGTTATTTAAATTGTTGCAAAAAATATCAATAATATTTATAATTTACTTTGATTAAAAAATAGAACCGAAAAATTTCTTAAATTAAATAATTTAGGATGATATACTGCATCATCAAACTGGTACATTATCCAATATTTTTATTTTAGAATTACTGAAACCACCCACACATGGATATAATTGTTATGATGTATCTATATCCAACTACTAATAATCAATTTTATATTTACAACAAATGTTGATTATCCATTATTCAGTCTAATCCATTTAATGTATTTATGTTCAATACATACTTCAATTATTATTATATCATTAGTTGTAAATTAGAATGATAATTATTTACCATCTAGATCTTTGTTATGATGAGAAAGAGTTTAACTATTACTACATATTAAATATGTTCTATTATAATTTAATTATATACCCCTACCCAGCACTATAACAATTTAAATAATTATTTTTCTACATAATCTCTCTAAATCCTATTCCAACCATAAAAGATGGTCCACTTATCATTTAAAATGCAAACTATATTTTCCCAGTCTTTGGAATTGCTTATTCACAAAGACAATAAATCCAACTATTACCACTAAATTGTACAACTTTTGCTGCTTCACTTACTGAACAATTACTATGCTTATAAGTATTTGAAAATGATATTGATTTGTAATATTATTGAATCTAAAAATAATATAATAAATTGATTAAAAATATACTTTTTCTAATTCTAGTTTGTTTTATTTTTCTTATTCTATTTTAACTTTTTCAATTTAATCAAGTTTGTTTAATGCTTATTATAATTATGATTTTTATTCAGTTAAATTTTAATCAAATTCCTATTTTACTTTTTTTTCTATGGAATAATATCATAATCTATTACAATCATCTTCAAATTTCTTTAACATTGTGGTCTAATCTTATTCATATTATTTTTTTAGATTTACATTATCTTAAAGTGCTAATTTCTATTATTCTTTCATATTTTCTAATTCTTTTTCCTATTATTCTAACTTAGTCATTAACTCATTGAGCTTCTACTTAAATGAATCTTCCATAGAATTAAATATATATTATTTTCTATTTAAAAATATAGAATTACTTTCAGTTTCTATATGTTTATTGGTTTCTGTCAATTTTATTATTTCCAACTCTATTTATTAAATTTTACAAAACTTTTTAAAGTCTGTACTATTATTATCAAATATCTTTTTGTATTCATTCAAAATATTTGATAATTTAGAGTATTAAGATTTCAATTATTCTGATTTAACTGCTTAATCTTTCGATTTAGTTTATATATTTTCTTAAATGTATTCAATCTTTTAGACATGTTATTAATAAACAGTAATAGCCTAATCAAATAGATGCAGTTGACATTGATATTTTTTAGCTTAATCGATTAATTCTTAAATTTCTTTGATAAGATTAATTTGATTTTTATAGTTTTCATCCTTTTATGCGCATTTTTAGATTTCTTAGATCATCTCAGTTAATTAACAAATTAAGCTTTTTTCCACTATAAACAATTAAATAAATTAGATACTTTAAATATCCTTGAGAATATCTAATGATTATTAAATATCTTATTAATCCTATTATTACAAAGATTCTAATTAAGATGCAATATCCTTTTTAAAAATAGAATCCTAATTTTTTAAAGTTGTTATGATTTAACTTTATGATACTTTTTCTTCTTCATTTTCAAGCAGTTGCTTTAAATCCTTTAATAATTATTCATCGTCTAATGCTTAAATTGACATTTTCTTCATTTAATTTGATTATTTAACTTTATCAGTACATAAGAATGATTCTGTCATCACTTTATCACTAATTTCATTTAATTTTTTATTATAATTCTTTCTCATTTGGGCTATTTAGTTTAATAATTCAGAATTCTTATCTCTACTTTCTTTTTTATATTCTTTGAGTATCTTATCAGTCACTGTGTTTAATTCCTTCCATTCCTTATCTACATCTTCAATAGTTTAATATTTAATTTATGGATTCTAAGAAATACAATCAACGCACACAAATCTATCTTCAATCTTCTTATTCTATGAATCCATATCAATCATAATAATTTCCTTTTTATGATTAATACAAATTTAATTTAAACTTGGTGTTTTCTAATAGTAATAAATCAATAATACCGTATCATTTTTTTTGATATTGACAAAAGGAAATAATTCAATTACATTATTTTACATAATATCTTTAATAGTTTCTTTTGTATTCTTAAACGTATCTAAGGTCTAAAAGTACTCAGAACAATTATACAATAGTTCAAATTGTCTTGAAATTTCATCAATAAAATTATTATCTTCTTATAATTTAATTGATTTTTATTCATCTTATGAATATAGTTCTGATAATTATTTTATATCTTCGAAATAATTTAATTATTATTCATATTCTATTAATTCTTATTTTTCTTTTTAGATTGGAAATATGTATTGTTAAATTTATTTATACATCTTATCTAATGAATCATCTACAAATCTTTTGAAATCCATAATTTGATCTAATATGTTTTTATAATAGGTGAGTCTTGCTTGATTCTCTTTAGTTTTAACTTCTTTTTACTAAATTTTAACTTTTTAGATTCTATCTTTTGATTACTCTATAGTGGTCACTTTATTGTTATTTAACTTCTCAACCAAGCATTTACCACAAAAGAATTAAATTTGTGCCTTGTTAGATAAATCCAAATCCACTGCTATAAATTCTAGATTATGAATTTTGCATATTGTTTCTTATGTTTCCTATACTTATTTTTGATTTAAGATATTCATGTTTATTATTTTAATTAATTAATACAATAGTTTATCATTTAATCATCTTTTACATTTCATAATCACAATTAAATTGTAATTCTATCATTATTGAATATAAAAAATTTTAATTTTTATTTTTTATTTAATATGTATTAAGAAATTAACAGATAATAATATAAAAAGGAATTACATGAGCCAGTAAATCATTAGAATATATATTTAATAACAACAATAAAAAAGATTGCAAAAATAAAATTATGTGCGTGTTTGTTTATAAATTATGTATTTTAACGATAATATAATCTTTTTAAGTTTATAAAGAGATTTTTTTTTAGCGCTATAGTTAGCGACAATTTAAGGATATGTGCTATATTATAAATAAATTGCAACTATTTTTAATAAATTGCAATTAGTTTTAATAAATGCTTCAATTTTTGAAAAAAACCTTAAATTGAAAAATGAAAAGTGAAGTCTAAGGTACGTAGTCCCATGAAAAATTGCAATTTTTTAGATGATGGTATGCTGAGAAGCTAAATAATATTAGCTATCAATGTAATTTGTAATTTATTGAAAATAAATCTCTTATGTTGGTAATAATTAGATCAAACAAAAGATTAATGATAACTAAATTTTTACCAAAAATTGAATCCTTTAATTATGGCTAGTTTCATTGGTTTATTTGAGTCTATAAAATGGAAATTTTAGAGAGTTGAAAAATAAAATGACAATACCAGAATAAAAGAAAATATTAATTTAAAGCAAAAAGAAAATAATCCTTTTTTGTTTCAGATTCCTCAGACAAATGCATTTATCAATTATTTAAATTTTCTTTTTGATTTAATTAAATAGAATCACTATAGATAGTAGCGAAGAAGTTTTTAGAAACTGTTATAAAATTGGAAGAATTTATTTGATTAAAGTTAAAGACCTAAAGTGAATATTTAAGAACTTAAAGTTAAATTAATTCACGAAACTTATAGATAGTATCATTTTTAAATTAGCTTCTCCTTAAATTTATCTATTCGATAAGATAGTTGAAATATAGATTCGATTCAACATAATCAAATACTATTGTTTCTAAAAACAATTATCATTTCTTTGATGCTCTCCTTTAAAAAATTACATAAAAAAATTTAAATAATATTAAATCATTTGCAAAATTAAAACTTAAATCTAGTTTTAATGATTTTAATAAGAATAGACCTGATGCAAATCAGATATCAACGAGTGTAAATATTAAGTTTATTTAGACAATGAATTTTGTAATGATCTTAGCTAGTTTGTAAATTATATAAAGTGAGATTCGATTTTTTCCAATTAATTTGAAAATTTAATCAGCCTATAGATGAGTAAGACAATAAGTATGATATTCAAAGTTTGCTTATAAAAAGGTTTTATGGAATTAATTTGCTTTGAAATTACAATAACAATATAATTGTAAAGCATTTGTAATGAGTGGAATAAAGAATTAAGATGCATTAGAGACAACTTGCGCATTAGTAATAGTCCTAATCTTGTACTCTCATCGAGATAATACCTCTCAAAGATATCACTATCAATTGTCACTGGTGACTCTATTAAGTGAGTACTTAGACAAGACTCGACTACCTAGGATTAGGCGACCTCCTATCGACTAACAGACTTACTATGGCTCAGGATGGAAATGGATCTTATAACTTAGTTTGAGTTCTCTAGTTATTCCACAAAAATATATCTACTTTAGTTGACAGATTAAAGTGTAAGTTAGTCAAACCCTTACTCAATACCTTAAGACCACATCTATTTTTC